GGTTCTCTGTTATATGATTAACCAACTTAATTTTTTTTGTAATTGGTTTAGTGGTTAGTATTAGAAATTAATAAACGGGATCCATGATCAAATGGTCTAGATTAAGAGAAAAATGGGTACCAGCTAAATTATAAATGCTAGTAGGTAGCTAAATTTAATGCAAGAGATAAGTCATTAGAACACCAAACATCATTAATTTGTAAAATAGGAAAGCATACATTGATTATCCATAGCAGTTCTGAAAATCAAAAAACAAACAAGCAGAAGCTGCACCACAGAAGAAAAAAGTAAGAAACAAAAAATAATTGGAATACAGATTTTCATTTTACTATCACGAATATTCTGTAATCCTCAATGTGATATATTACAATCCTATTTATAAGAGTATACTAGGCCTTCAGATATGAGAGGGGACCAAGCCCAAAATAGAATAAATTTAACACAATCCTCCCATTAAGGTACCCAATAATAAACATGCCTTGCACCTATCAAATTAACATCACATTCCTTAATTGAATGTATAATGGAGATGAACCATACCTATTTACTTTTATGGATCATATAATTATGGGTTTACGACTCTAATTTCTCTATAGCATATACTTCAATCCATTCTTTATAAAACTAGTTTAAAATTGCACAATCAATGGCAGCCCATATTTAGGAAAATTCTAACAGTTAGGGCATCCATGGATCAACTAGCATGTACCTCAAGATTAATCCTAAAGACTAATCTCTTTTTAATTTGATTAAAGACAAATCATTCATACATTGATTAGGGAATTATGTGAGGAATTATTTCCTTTTTAGTCTCTCAAATAAATCGAATATTGGTCTAAGATGGAGAACAAACTTCTTCATCAACTAAACTACAACTTATTAGAAGATCAACCAACTTAAATTATATTCCTTTTTAAAACTAGAGCAAAGTTTTATTGGAGTGAAGGTGTTCAATTTGCAAAATGATTTTGTGTCTATGTCTAACCGAACCTAACAACGGAAACTGCATCAAGTTGGCATTATAAAACCAGCAAGGCTTCGGCCTGTGTCATGTCGATCCATCCAATCTATTAACCCATCTAGCCCACTTTTTTCTCATATGGACAACAATTAGACATACAAGAGGCAAGACCTTCACAAATTTAAGCCCAAAATATTGAATGTGGGTTGATGCAAATTGTCAATGAGATTGGATTATTCATGGGCTAATTCATTTTGTTCCTGATAAAAAGAGCAAAATTGTAGGCCCAAAAGCCTTCCAAGAAGAAGATAGTGGAGTGATGGTAATTTTTTAAAATAATAAAAAAAAATTTCGGTGAAGAAGGCCCGCCGTGGACCCCACACATCCTCGCTGTCTGCTAAGAGTTCAGATAGGCATACCCAAGTTTACGTAGGAAAGGTAACACAAAGCCACCAAGACACAAGTCAAAATGGAAACAAATTCCAGAGTTATAAACAAGGAAGTTTGTACCGTATTGTATTAGTAAGTATGGTCGGTATGTATCGATTTTTGAGTGGATCAAAACGAAATAAGTTAAAATGTTGTTTCGATCAAAATCTGGTAACTTTGGTCAAATTTTGACGTACCAGCCTAAATTTCGTGTACCGATCAGTACATTATGCAAGAATTAAAAAAAAAAAAAAGGATTCCCTAGCGGGGTGACTTTTTATTGACTTAAACCCTGCAATTTCAGATCGCGCAAATTTCTCCTTTGTTCTTGCATCCAGCTGTCCTTGACAATTTTTCATTTTTGGTATAATTGCCCAGTACAATTCAATTCAAATTTAAAAAGGGTAAATTTCATTTTGGTCCTCAACTTTAATGTTTTACATAATTTTCATCCTTTAACTTTTTTATATACTTTTTTAGTATATTCATCATATTTTTTTAATCCTTCTATCAATTACTCGATTAAATTTATCTAAATACACACTTTTTTAATCCCTTAATTTAAAATGGATGGACGAAAAATATGTATATATTAGAAGTTGAGGGATTAAAAATGATAATTTTAAACTTGTTTTTAGTTTATAGGAATATAATAGTTTTAAATATTTATATCTCTTATTTTATTTTAGAATTTGATATTTAATTTATAAAAACATATATTTATAGCGATAAATCCAAAACGGTACGCGAAAAATTTCGGTATTCAATACATACCATTCTAATAACAAAGTCGGTACATATACCAGTACAATATTGACTTCCTTGGTTATAAGCGAATTTGCAAAACTCCCAGAAGATAAATATAATATCTTTTCAATTGGAAGTTATTGAAAAGAATTATGTGAATAAATCACCATAACATGCAGTTTTTTTCTAACACTATGGGTAGAAAATTGACACTTACCTCAACAGGTTAATGATGCCACAAGGAAACCCATGAGCAAATTCAATAGTCTTCAATAACATTAAAATTTAACCCATTAACTTATCAGTGATACATAAAAAATGAAAAAAAAAAGTTCAAGAACAATGAACCATGCGTTTGAATGACACTTACCTCAACAGGTCAATGATGCCACCCAACAAACCACTTGAAACTATGCTTTCTTTAATCATTTAGAATCCTCTCAGAAAATGCAAATTAGTTGGAGTTAAACTAAATTCTTTTCCTTCTATT